CCAAGGGAGGAACATCATCCTGAATCAAACAAAATGAATAAATAATCGGGGCTGCAGACACACTTTCATACTTGCGGTGCATGTCCGTGGAGGATTGGTTTACCAGCCCAAGTGATTAGTCTGCTGGCAGAACTGTTTGGTTTCTGTGGCTCAACCATTTACAGTATGATATAACAGCAGATCAGATCCAGTTCTGAACACAGCTCTCTGTAGAGCTGCTGATATTCAGCCAAAGGGAAAAAAAACTCAGCTCGCTGTTACTCAACTGTCACTTCACATTTGTGGCCTAATGCGTGAGGCTTTAAATCATCAGCCATGCTGTTTAGTCCTGTTGGTTCAAATATCATCAGTGTCGTTATTCTGCTATTCTTTTTTATTTTTACTTTCATATTGTTACATCACACACACGTTACTAATCAAGTAAATACATGAAATCATACTTTGTTATCCATCCATTTAACCTTTCTAAACTTTTCTATTTTATTTTCAATCTGCAACTTTTTCCAATATCTCTGTTTGGCAGAGATAAGGACTTTTTATTCATGCATTTTGATCACAATCTTATTAAAAACAATGCTGCAAATGTTGTATCCAGGTAACCTCCAAGTACATTTTGCTACAGCCTCTTCTTATGGATTCTCTCGAATGCAACATAAAAATGTAATAGGGGGATTTTCTCATTGATAGTGGCTACATGCCTGAAGTTGCATTAATAAACAACCAGGCAGATATACTATTTTTTCAATGCCAAATCGATTTTCATAAGGTTACATTCCTAATGTTTATATTTCAGCAACCTCTCTCCTGTTTATACAATGGAGGGTATTAAAAGGGAGATTAAATTGTACCCGCCTGAATATAATACAAACACAAAATGATGCTTCTATTTCCAGGGCAAGCTGTGCATTGTCATTTATTTATGAGTTTTCCCTGCCCTCCCGTTCTTTTCCTTTTCACACCCAACAGTAAATATGGAAATTGTGTTTGTCAGTTTGTCTGTATACACACATGCATGCATGCATATCTATACATGTGCCTTTGTGTGGGAATCTTTTAAGGTCTGTCTTTTATACCGCATTGAATGCGAACTTGCGCTGTGCTGCTGCGTGGATGCAATGGGCGTAGGAGGGTCATGGGGCTCCTGCAGAGAAAACGTCTCCGTCCTCCATCAATAAACACACTCCCTCATCCTGGTGCTGTATCGACAGTCAATCATCTGTCTTCACACACTTATTCTCTCCCTCAGTGGCTCTCTCATCTTTGTTAAGACGCAGTCAGACTTTTATTGCCACTATTACAGTGAGCTGCCATTATCCTTTTGAATGGGAGGGGGCTACTGTACATGGTCTAGTTTTTCCCCCCAACTTTAAGGTTAAAGAGAGCCGAAAGAGACAATATTTCATCCTCAATCGCTCACATTATACATGTAGAAATACTTCTTTTATAATTATTGGTTTCCAGTGGTCATAATCCCTTCAATTCTGATGTCTCCATTTCTACTGTAATAGTGCTGAAACAGCGTCTGATATCTTCTCCTATACGTGCTCATCTATCCAATGGATTCTAAGAAATCTTATCAGACCATAATAGTGATGGCTCGTCACAAATCAAAAAGAAGTGATATCAAAGTTCTCTTTACAGTAAAACTGTAATAAAATCATGGCTTTCTGGCAATGAGTTTTACTGAAATCTTTTGTATTGATTTTTAAAATGCTTCATTTTAGCCCTGACTCTGGATTATATTTTATTTGATGGCACTTTTCATTTCTTCCAATTTCTTAAAAATGTTTTTATCTTAATAACCTATATAAGATTGAAACCCATTTTTAATTTGTAATAGGTTTAAGTAAAATTAATTTATTAAAAGCTAAATTAGATACAGATCAAAGATGACCTTTTTACCCTCTTAGTTGCATCCTAATGAATGTTCCTGTACCTAATGTAGCACTTTCTTGTTTTATTGAAAGATTTCATTATTTTGAGAGTCAATATTCACCATTCGATCCAATGCTTCTTTGCTTTATCATGAGGAACGTTTGTATGCCATTTTTATAAATGTTATGCAAGTGCTCTCAACATGGCAACTGTATGCATTCATTTATTAACACTTGCTCGGTTCCTTAACCTGTTAAGCCCCAAAGACCCCGTCGGCGGGTCTTTTTTTTTTTGGATGGAATGAATACCTATGGTGATAATTCAATGTAATACACAAGTCTGGTACCTGAAAAAGGTCAAATGGCACTGATGGAACCAGATGTACCCAAATGTGCCGAAAGCTTATTCCGCCTGGAACCTTTTTTTGCTAAACCTCTCTAAAAAAGTCAAATTTCACTTGTTTTGCATCAATCTTGATACAGGGTACTTATTATCTGTTATAGTTTGGATTCCTAAAGCTTTTAGTCTACCATCCCATCATTCAAGGGTGGTTTTCACTGTAAGTAATGTTTTTTCTTTAGGCGGAGGTAAGAATTTACCTTTTTTTGCTATGTTCCATCTGAATTTACTCTGACTGAGAAAAATCTATATTGATTCTGACACTTCTACGTCCAACTCACAGATGTGACCTTGCTTTGATAAAAGACATTATTCATATAACCCTTTTAGAAGTTAAGTTGTAGTCATTTGTTTTGGGCATGTCATTTTCGAGCCTGAAACCTGTAAAACAGGCGCGGGGCTTAACAGGTTAATTATTACATTTTGTTTCTCTTCCTTCATCTTTATGGGACCTAGATTGTGATATCTTCATCTTGTAATAATTAACCTCACTAACATTACTCTATATCTTTCACTAACATACCGTGACCAATTTCTTACTCGCAATCACAAAACGTGTCTGCGCTGTGTTTGCATACCGTTTGTTCTGCATTGCTCCCTGTTAACGTGGGTCTGTTTTGGAGTAAACACATCCTTTGCAGGGTAGTTGATTAGAATATGAAAGGGAATCTCTGCCCGGTCAGTTGCTGCGTTTGCTTCTCATAGACGCCCCAGCATGAATTAGGCATGAGGGCTGCAGTCCAGCGCGCACCATCCGTACACCTCCCCTATTTGCACCCACTCTAGGGCTTTAGTTGACGTACAGATAAACAAATATCTCATTTGGAAGTTTTTAGATCTTCTACAGAATGGCCACCCAATCAGAGGAGATGTTTACCATTTGCTTTTTTTCCCACTTCAGGTTGCTGTGGGTTCAGGAAGTTCTCTCAAAGTTTAAAATAGTTTGACTTATAATTTAAACCTTTTTTTTTATGTGATGGACTGTGACACACATTTAGCTAAAGTACAACACACAAAGGTTTTACTGATGAGTTCATAATGTTATCATGTAACAGAATAGTAAATGATGGTATGCATTACAGATGTAACCTTCACAACATGAATATTTCACGTCTGGCAATCGGTTATCGGTACGTTTTGACATCAGCATAGTTTATAGAAAAAGTATGTTTAATAAGCTGACACATTGAGCATATATTAGTGTGGTTGTTCGACATCTTTGCTGACACAGCCAGACATCAAACAAGTGCAACAAAACAAGATGAAGCAGGCCAGCTAATCTTACTTACTTGTCCAATATCCTGTATTTTGCAAAGCTCTGGCCAACAACTAAAAGCCTGTCCAAACTGTTCTTGTCTAACTTCCTCTTGCTCTGTCACTCTCTCCTTCTCTCTTCTAAGCTTCCTCTTTTAACGTCCTCTTAGGTATCTTTGCCTATATATACACCTATAGCAATAATGCATGTAGGGGCTGCTGTACCGGTTCTGTTCTCTGCTTTCCCAGATCCCGTTCTGGCCAAGTCACTCTGAGCCTGCATTTACATCTTGTAGCAGTTAACAATTAGTGTTCATTTTGCAACAACAACAACAACAAGGAAACTCACACAGTCAACGCAGAGCAGTGGGAGGACATCAGAGAGATACCAGAACATATTTTTTATCACGATACAGTTTCAACAAATTCTGTGAGATGGTTGGTGGATTTGCCGTGAAGCCTTCTCGAGGGAAATTGTACCTTCTCGTTAAAGTCACATGTTGCATGATGACTGAAATTATAAATCTGACAGTAACTCTTACACAAACAAAGATCTATTACTATTATCATTTGCTCTGATACGACTCTGAATGCTATCAAATGTGCTCCCCCCCATCCCTTTTATGCACTCTTCTCTCTCTGCTCTCATTCCAGCTGTGAGGTACAATTACTGCCATGAGTAAAATTCTACATTTCCGCAGGGCCAGATCCTTTAAACCACAATGCCAGTCCTCAGTAACTTCAGAGCCCCTGTGGGCCCACTTCAATAGACCCCCGGCCCCAGGTGTGAACCTGGTAACTTGTTTAGCAATACACACAGAGTGTGTGGCTGTGAAAGCATCAGGATAATGCACCACTAATGGTGCATATGTGTTCGACCAATGATGTCCCTGTCAAAGGAACATTATACGTAAAACCCATTGGCTTACTCTCAGTCTTGAAATAGGAGCAGACAGCGAAGCACAGACTGAAAGGTTGAGGTTCTGGAGGTCAAAACAATGTGACGTTTGCCTTAATCTTCATTAAATTGAATGTTTTCATTCTGCAACACCCTTTCATGAAATCCAACACTATCAGGGACTTATGAGCTTTTATTAAACTCGTAAGCATACAAATCCCTTTTTACCCAGGATGTACATCATCCCCAGAAGGGGCGATACTCCTTTAGCAAGCGCCACTTACTACTCGCTACCTACCTGGAGACATGTTTTCTGCTGCCTGTATTTTGCTTGTATTTCTGCTTATCAATTCATATGTAAAACTTAATACATTCCCCATTCAATCTACTTTTAGAATAACTACAATCCGTTTACCTTCCGATACAAGTGTTTGAGGGAAGGAAAAATGACCTTTATTTGGGAGGTAATTGTGCAGGCCCTGTGTAAATGCCTGATTGGGATCTCAGTGTGCAGAGTGCTGGTTCAGCAAGGTTCCATCCTGTTCCTCAAAATGGTCCCCTCTTTCCTCCCAAGGTGTCCTCTGGCTGCGCTGGCCTCTTTGAAGGCTTCCCCTCTATAATGGAATCACTACAAACACTTCCTGGACAAAGCACGAAGAAGCACTAATTCCACACTGATAAGGATCAGTCTTCCTCTCATTTCATAAGTCTTCCACCAGATACAAAGCTGTGCTAGATAAGATGTGTCCTTCCTCCCCCAATCCCCTGTAACACAAAAGTCCTTACAAGACCCAAGATGAAAAAAAAGAAAGAATTACTTTAATTGCTATTCAAGTGCGTGTGAACAAGGGGGAGGGCTGCACATTGAGGTGGAGACTTTTTTCTATTACTACAAAAGAAAAAAATCTTCAAAAAAGGGAAACGTGTATCATATTGAGGAAGACAGGCCGAAGGTCACCTCTAATATCTGTTAAATTCAGAGTTGTCATATGTGTCAGAGATTTTCCTCTTCCTGTCTAAACTAACATAGGCGGATGTTAGTTATGATAATAAAATGTGCATGCAGGTGTGAGCTGACTTTCTTTGCTTCTTGTCTAATGAAGAGGTTTTAAAACACACCCACTTTAAATGCATTTCATCTACGAAGACGGTTTTGCTTTAAAGTTTTATGCAAATGTTCTTAACGATTTATTATATTAATTCATATTTTCTCCAAGTACATGTAAAATAAAATGTCAATGTGTTGGTGTTTTTCGTATTAAAGGGACAGATAAGGATTTGTGTGAGTGTTTTTTCTCAATAAGATACTGCTAAGATGGCAGATCAAATCAAATCAATCCAAATCAACATATTGTATTCCTATTTGAACAGTTACAAGGCATTAAAAACAATAGGAAAATAAACTCCCCAACCTAGTGTCATGAGGGGATTGCATCTTCTCTGGTGTCCTCATTTGTTCTAATAGACAATCAAGAAGGAAAACGTGTTGACATTGAAGCTTTAACCTAATAACCCATCATACTAAAGGTCAGTATCCTAATATATCCACTTTGTTGTAAATTATCAACAAACGCTCAGACAAGAGGCACTTTCGGGTCTATATCTGTCTCACTGCAGTGTTTTAAGTGAGGAAGTGGCACATTTATGACAGATTGATTGAAATGTTGTGTCATTTGTGTCCTCCGCTTTCTTTTGCTTCTTCCTGTTTCTTTGTGCCGGGGACTTCCCTCCAGATGTGGAGGCTGCTCTTTCTGAACCTTTTTCATCTTCTCTAACAGCAGTTTGATCAAAGCCTGAGAGTACAGACAATAAACCTGTGTGTCCGTGGCCCTGTCATAGCAGTAGTAAAAATAGCATTTATCAGATATCCGGGTTTTGCAACTGCTTGTACTGTATGAGTCAAATGTTACCTTGTATGATTTATTTTTGTTCGGTAATGAGTCTTTTAAGAGGAGTCACAGCAAAAATAAATATGTACTTTTTGTAAAACGTACAGACATTTTGTTGAAGCATCAAGTTTGATTTGAACCACACAGCATCTTTGTGTGTGGGCCGCTTGTCTGTTAGACTTTACAGATAAAAGAGAAGAACAAGTTATTTCTGTACAATGAAGAGGAACACATCTAAGTGAACAAATAAGTATTTCAAAAATGTGAAAACCTATTTTGTATCGAGAGTTGGATGCCATTAAATAAGTCAAATGAACAATTACCATATGACAAAATGAACTAAGAGTTTACACTGCCTCTCCATGTTATTATATTTGAAGTCGCTGATATTTTCATTGGGATGGTCAGACTTTTCCATACCTTGAGCCACCTTGTTGACCGCAACCGCAGCGCGATCCATAACGTCTAGCAGGTGTAGGGTTGCGTGTTGGTACGTAGGAGGGATTTTCATTTATTTATATATTTCGTTTTTGCCTGGTCACCAATAATTGTGAAACTTCAGCTTTTTTTTCTGGCTGGACACAGTAGCTGTCAGGCATCATATTTCCCTCAGGTTCAAATGTGCTGTGTGCTTTGATAATAAATGGAGAGAGCTCAGGTGACCGGGCTTGATGGACTTGTAGGTAATAGCGGGACCTTACATTACTCTGATATAAGAAAACAGCATCTCCTGTATTTGAATATGGTCGCCTTTGCTGCATTTCAGAATAGTGACTCAAAGTACTATTGACTTTAATGAGAGGAATAATTCACGGTCACATTTTCCTTCAAGTCTCTAAAGGACTTTCGACCAGGACAGAGGTTTAAATGTTTGATCAGCTGTTGGGCATCCATTTTACTTGACCTAAAATCTGAATATGATAAAACAAAACTTTTTCACTCTGGTATGTTCATAACCCAGATATTTTTAATACATTCTTTTATTGTATGTAACCTAGATCATTAAGCCAGAAATATCTTCTGTAGAAATGATGGAGGGAGGCAAAACCAGGACATTGTTGTGCAGACCAATTTTCTACAGATAAGAATTCACTACTAAATGTTGCACCGTATAAACAAACAAAACAACAGGAAAATCTTGGTCTTCCTTGTGTTTGTTTGTTGTATTTTCAGTTTTCACACAGATTAAACATTGTAAATGAATGTGGTAATTAACGCTGGATGTGTGAGTGTAGGCGCTGGTTCATCTACTTGTTTGTCTCAGATGAAAGGAGCATATTTTCGATAAAACAGAAAGTGGGATTGTACTCAGTGCATCATACCCACTTGTTTACAATGGTCTCCCAAGGGGGCTCCCCTCTCTGTTAGTTAGTGTATTTGCAAGGAGAGACTTAAAATAGCCCACCAGCTCCAACTCAAGCAGAGCACCATCTATAGGCAGTCTGTGCTGTGAGTGTGTTCACGGCAGCCAGCTTCACTTTACTGATCTGTAAACAGCATAAGCTTTATTCAGACTGTCTCATCCTCCTGCGTTTGATCTTTGTTGCATCGGTTTAGTAAGATAAGAAAAAAACGATTTAACATTCTCCATACTGTACAGCATATAGGCTTGCACATATGCAATAGTTAAAACATGAACAGCCACTGTAAGCAATGGAGTCTTTTTATATTGGCTACTGCTTAGGCCAGAGTCATACATACTATTTATGTGGATAATACACAGTGGACATCCTGACTTCAGCTTCATGTGTAGCTGTAATTGTAATTTACACACTTTAACACTAGATACAACATGTCAATGATTGATTAGATTAGGTAGATGCATGACTATGTCTTTGCAGTTACAAAGGCTTGTTTACTCATTCAATCTTTTTGTAACACTTTAAAATAGACATATAGCAGATCATACCTCCACTGTATGATTCTATCCCACATTGAATACTGTTTTACAAACTGGTCGTTTGCTTGTGCCACAAACCTGAAACCCATAGAACAGCTGTACAAGAGAGCTATCAAGGTGTTTGACAGAAAGCCACATTCATACCACCACTGTACCATCCTTGAGAAACACAATTTCTTGAGTTTTGACCATTTTAATTCTTTTAAAACTATGTGTTTTTTTTATAAATGTTTACATGGACTGGCCCCCCCCCTCCCTTAGGGGAATTCATCCACAAAAAACACACTGGACGCTGCACTAGGTCAGAAACCAGAGGAGACTGTGAAGTCCACCGTAGACGGACCACCTTTGGACAAAATGTCCTCTCCATTAAAGGCAGCTCTTTGTGGAATAGCCTCCCAACTGAGATACGGGATTGTTTCACTCTCAATAGTTTTAAAGGATGGAAACTAGCTCAAAGCTAAAATCCGGCTCATTTACATTTAAAAGCATTATTTTGTTTAAAATGTTCATCAATGTGCACTGTCCCGGTTCAAATAAACGATTAAATGAAATGAAAATCAACTCACACAATCAAATAAAATGCACAATGCACTTCATAGTGAATAAAGACTGATTTCAGATTTTACAGTTGTGCACAAAACCAGATTGAAAACACATCACAAGTCTTTTTTTAAAGGTACTGCAACATCCTCCAAAAAAACTAAAACAAAAAGGGAACATGTAGCCATAACCATAGCAGTCCTTAATATATTACATTCAACAACACTAGGCAAAACCTGAGCCAAGAAACACCAGGGAAGATTTAGGTATAGATCCAGTCAACATACACCTCGTTTTATGCGACTAAAGGTAGAAGAAGATTCTTGTGGAGCTACATCTCCCCCGAGTTAGCACGGTTTTCTTACAGTTCATTCACTGGCTATAGACATAGGGGAATATGGCATGTTAAATAGTTGAAAGCAGATTAAAAACGTTGGAAATGGACTGTTAAACAAGCCTCCCCTGATACACTCCATATGATGTTCCGTTAGGCCGAGTTAGTGACCTTTATAATCAAAGCATATGCTAATTACAGAGATATTATTAGATGAGTGGGAGTCTGTGCTCAAAGCTGTGCTATCTCTGCCAGCACATGATTCACAAATCAGGGGATTGAAGGTTGACCGATGAATATCACATTGTCACTATTATATCTCCTCCACACTTTACACAATTGAATTGAGAATTTCTGCTCTGCAATGATTAGGCTGTTGTCTCTGTTTTTAAAACTCCCTCTCCTCCCCTCCTGTGACCTGTGATTTTTAAAAGCACAGTCATTTCGAGGGGCAAGAAATACATGAATATTTATCACTGTGCCACCTCTCCCCAAGCCAACGCATGAAGAATCGATTTTTTCAAAGTCTGTTTTAGATTTCATTTGTAGGTTGCATTTTTTTTTTCTCCACGTCCCCCTTCCCCTGTAACACCCAGCCCTGTCCCTTAGTGTTCCCATCAGGAAATTTGCATATAAATAATTCCTGGGTGAGGCATATTCAAGGTGTGTTTAAAGGTTACCTGAGTGGGACTAAGTGACTGCAGTGACACTGTCGAGGAATGCCATACCAAGTAATGTTGTTTTAGTTGTGTTCATCTTGAAATCCACCCAAATAATCAAATGTTTTTGTACTGTGTGAGTAATCAACTGCAAAATCAGGGTGTAGCCCGGGTGTAGATGGCTATTTATTATTAATATTTCTCTTTTAAGATGGATATTTGTTTATGCTCTTTTATGCTACTAGAATTCCTGGTCAAATTGATTTTTTTTTTTCTAACACTAATGTTGAGAAAGGGCTTTTGTTTCCTATTTTAATTTTGATGTGTACATAACACACTTCACATTGTCTATCCGTCTCATATTTACACACACACACACACACACACACACACACACACACACACACACACACACACACACACACACACACACACACACACACACACACACACACACACACACACACACACCAGGATCTAAATTGAACAGACCAGCATGGAGTAGGCCAATTACATCACTGCCCCAATTAAAATAAAACAACAGGACTCTTTCAAGCTGTCCTGCAGGGGAGAGGAAATGAGACGAGGGAAGAGAAAGAAATGGCAATAACAAATCCCAATCCAGTCAGATTGTCATGATGTTCATTTTAATTAAAAAATTGGATTCACTGCAATTAGCTCCAAACTAGTCCCCTGTGGCTCTAAGACAATGATTGGCTCTCAGTTTCTAAGCAACTCTTAGAGTTCCACACCATCCTGTGATAATCTCTCTTTGAATAACATTCATTGTTTCTTGTGAATACTTCAATGTTTGTCAAAGGAAAATGCTACTTGAATGTTGACATGAATCGTATAGGTATACATCAGTGATATCACAAAGCTACTAAATGGTGTCTCCTTCGCTCTCTGAAATTGTGGTAAACCAGGAGTGT